AGAGAGAGACCCCATTATTCTGCTACCCAGATACTGGCTCCAAAGATTGTCATTGGAAAACTGATATCAGACAAAATAAGGAACCAGCAGCTAGTCACTCAGACACAACAGAAGCTTCCCTGTGCATCCCGAGAAGAACTTGCCATAATATCAAGGAAACAGCAGTCAGAACCAATTACAGAGGTCCTTCACAAAGAGAGAGTAAAGAAAAGTAAATGGACTAAAGTAATGGCAATAACATAAAAAGGAAACCAGAAAAACCTGGTTTGTTGATAATCATATTTAATTTGAATGGCATAAATGCACTGATGAAGAGAAAAAGAGTACTAAATTGAATTAAAAATATTGGCTATTTTTTCCAGACTCTTGTGCAAATAGAATAAGATATAATTAAATTGGTAATGTTTTTGAAAAAATAAAATTGCTTTACAATTAACATATCATTGAAAAGAATAAAAACTAGAATAAAGACTATGTATTTATTTCAAATTAAAAACCAAATTTATGATTTTGGAAACCAATAGAGGTTCAATTATGAGTTTTAACCATTTGTACAGCAGTGAGTTTTTGAGCACTACCTTTAGATTTGCAGTACAACTTCCTCATCAGAGTTCCTGAATGATTTTTAGTTCCTGGATATTTTTTAGTTGTTATAGTTGTGTGCCAACAAGTTGACTACAACTCATAGTGACACTACTAACAGATTATAATCTTGTCCTATCCTTTGCCATTCTCATGATTTCCCACATGCTTGAGCCCATTGTTACAGTCACTGCATTAATCTATCTCATTGAGGATTTTCTTTTTTGACCCTCCCCCATTCTCAGGATGGTGTTTTTTTCAACAGGAATAGTCTTTCTATTTTAGAAAAACCATATAGATATGTTTAGATATACAAAAAATGCTTTGGTCCTACTACATAGTAATGGTTGCACTTAAGCTTAAAAATTGTGTTGCTGTGTACTGTCAGGTCTGAACGGACCGATGGTAGAAACTCCAGTGGGTTTTCAGAGACAGTAATTCACACAAGAGAAGATGTCCATCCTTATTACATGAAGCTGCTGGTGGATTTGAGCCCCATGCCTTTGGGATTGAAGCACTATTTCTTAGCACTAGATCATCAGAGTTAATTCACTAGCATATGAAGATCTATTACCTGTAATTCCCTGTTTCTAGTTATTGAAAGATTTTGTCCTACAACCAGGAGACAATAAAGTAGATGAATGGGATCTTCTAAGAATCAAATGCCTATGCACATTCAAAAACTTCTCAAACAGGGCAAAAAGGGAAGCCACAGACCGGGAAAAAGTATCTGGTAATGACATATCAGATAAGGGACTTATATCCAGAATTTATAAAATACTCGAGCAACACAACAAGATAAAGGTAAATAATCCAATTGAAAAATGGGCACAGGATATGAACAGACACGTCACCAAAGAAGACATTCAGATGGCTAACAAGCACATGAAGAAATGTTCAAAATCCCTAGCTCTAAGAGAGATGCAAATTAAAACAACTATGAGATATCATCTCACCCCAGTCAGAATAGAAATATTTAACAGAACAGCAAGCAACAAATGCTGGCAAGGAGAAACTGTAACCCTTATTCACTGTTGGTGGGAGTGTAAAATGGTGCAACCACTGTGGAAGGAGGTGTGTTGTTTTCTCAAAAAGTTGCAAATAGAGATACCATTTGACCCAGTAATTCCACTACTGGGAATATACCCCAAAGAGACCATAACTGACATCCAAGCAGATATATGCACACCCATGTTTATTGTGGCTTTGTTCACAATAGCAAGGAGTTGGAAACATCCTAAGCGCCCATCAGCAAATGAAAGGATAGAGAAGCTGTGGTATATTCACACAATGGAATACTATGCTGCATTGAAAAACAAGGAATTCATACAATATTATTCAAAATAGGTGACTCTGGAGGACATTATGCTGAGTGAAGTATCTCAGTCACTAAAGGACAAATACTGCATGGTGCCACTGTTGTAAAATAGGACTGACCTTGGGGTTGGGGAGAGACTGAAAAAGATGCGTTCAGTAACATATACTGCATTGAAACAGATGAGGGAGAAAACTGTTTAAAAGAGATATGTAATTAGGTATTTTTGTCATGACAGGAGTCTAGAGTGAAGGCTCCATGGTGGAGTGGACCTGGAGGAGGGTTTGTAAAACAATGAAATAAATTTTCTTTTACTTTTCCAAGAGGGTAGTATACTGAGGGGGAGGGAGGGTTGGGAGGGGAGAAAAGTGCAACAAAGAATGAATGGAAACCCAAAGCCTCTGTAAATTTTCATTGAAATTAATAATAAATTTTTTAAAAAAGAAATATTTTCTAAGAGAGTGAATGTTAATTCTTCACTAATTCCTAGATGGAAGGCAAAACTTACAATTTAGATACAAATATTTTTATTTTTTTTTAAAAAAAACAAACCCCAAAACAGGACAGAGTTGAAAATTAATTTTGACTTACTTATATATTGTTACATGTAGCAGTTTGGTGTTTCCTCAAAAAGCTGAACATAGAAATTCCACATGATGTGTCTATTACACTGCTTGGAATATACCCCAAGAAAATGAGAACTAAGGTACAAATGGAGACTTGTACACCAATGTTCATAGCAGTGTTATTTACCATCACAAGAACATGGAAACAGCCCAAATGTTGAACCACAATCGAATGGATTGAAAAAATTATGGTACATTCATACAATGGAATACTATGCAGCATGCAGGGGAAATGATTTTGTAAATTATTACCTACCTTAAGAGGGACTGGAGAGCATTATGCTGAGTGAACTCAGTCCCACAAGAACAAATATTGCATAAAAATCATTATTGTAGAATGAGTATGATGATGCAGGGGTGGGGTGGTGGTGGTGGAAGCAGAGGGATGAGGATGTGTGTGTTGGGGGAGCAGGATTAATCATGAGGTTGTACAATTTGAAGGCTCAGGGGGTAAGGGAAATTGGAAGAATCTGGTGTGAAAAACAATGTATTCAAATTTTGTATATAAACATAAAAAAAACCCAAAACACCAAAACCAACACCAACATGTAGCAATATATGGTGAGAGACACTCTGATTAATCCTTTGGACTATTTCCCTACATCTTCCATTTTCTTCATTCTCCTTTGCTCCAGGCAAGAAGAGACCAGTAGTTGCTTCTTATACTGTGTGTCACAAACTCCTATCCCCCTAAACACTACTCACCAGACTAGAACAAAAGAGAACTATCTTTATAAACTGCATTATGTCAAGCGACCTAGATGTCCCCAGAAAATATAGTTATTATAGCCCAGTGATTAAACCATCATGCCATGCTACCTCCAAATCCGGTATGTTTTAAACATGGTCTAGTGGGTAGGGAATTGAACTTTCAACTCAAAAGTATGCTGTTTGAATCTACCAACTGTTCCTTGGGAGACAGATGGGGAATCTTCTCCTGTGCTGTTTACATCTTCTGAAAAGTCACTGGAGGGTCAGCTGTAAGTTGGTTACATGTTGGTGGCAATGAGTTAAACAAAGAAATCAGCAGGTAACTATTCTCTTAAGTAGCTAATATGTTATTGAACCAACATGCATGTTGTTGTTGTTAAGTGCTGTTGAGTCATAGACAACTCATAGCGACCCTATGAACAAAAAACCTGAACACTCGTTTAACCTTCATTGTTTCACCAAGTTCCTAGGGATTCTGGAAGCAAGCTAATTTGGAAGTGGATGCCACTCCTGCTTCCAAGCTTGTTTTAATCAGGGAGGTCCACCAAAGACTGTCTACCATGGGTAACCATTATAACATTTGACACATCAATGTCACAGTGTTCAGCATCACAGCAACCATGAGTTACTTCTGTACAACAAATGGACAGACCAATGCTATACCACTTAGAAGAATGTTTGACAAAAACAAATTTAAAACAGGCCAGAGGGCTGCAGATTAAAATCACCCACCTTTGGCTTGGTAGCATCACTTTCTGTCTACCAGGCCAACTTAGCTCTCTCTATGTTGTTGTTGTTAAGTGCTGTTGAGTCACAGATGACTCATAGTGACCCTATGAATGAAAGACCGGAAAACTTGTATAACTTTCATCGTTTCTCTGAGTTAATTTGCATAGATTCTACTATTCTTCTTTTAATTAAGATTTTTTTCCCTTCATGAAAGATATGAAGACATTATGTGTTCCTTTAAAGAACTGTACATAATAGGCTACATAGAGAAGTTCTCGAGAGTTCCTTGAACTCAACCAATTGTCATCAAGTTGGAACTGACACATAATTTCTCCTCCATTAGATTTTTGAGACTGTAAATTTCTTGAGAGATTGTCCAACTTCCTCCCTCCGAGCTACTGGTGGATTTGAATCACTAGAAACTCAGCTTTCTGGTTAATAGTGCAACTCTCTATAAACTATATCATCAGAATCCCCTGAGAATTTCATAGAACTCTAACAGGGCTGCTTTAGTCCGTATATACTACATGTACCCTGAGACTAAAACCTGCTTACACGTAGAGCCATATCTCAAGTACCACTTCCTCATCCTGCATAAGACTCTCCTTACATTTATAGTTCAATGTGTCCAGGAGGAGGCAGCTACTGTAAGAAAATTAAGAAAGCAATCCAATTACTTTGTTATCCCACTTTGTCCATACAAAACACTTTTCCATGTACTTAAAGTCCTTTAGTTCAAATGAAGCTGTCAGCACTGAAAATTCTTAGATAGCTCTTTTTGTGAGGCATCTGCTACCATTCCATCTAGTGACTGTTTAGGTTCACAGTTGCTAAGTATGGGGTTAAATATTAGTAACTTCAGAGAGAGAAAGTGGAACTCTGTGTCTTTTCAACTCTAGAGGCTTCTGGAAGCAAAGCACTAAAGTGCTCACTGTTTATTTGAACCCCTAACAGCCTTATGATAAGTTTTATCTTCAAACGATGAAAAATATGTTCATAGAGTTCAATATTTTGTTAGTCATTTGCTTTGCACAGGCTTACACTCTCAATTTCCAAAATATCTGGAGTTCTTTCTGGTATCTAGCTTTTCTCACACTCTTGAAAGACAAGACTTCAGATTCATTCCTTCATGGCTTGATCATTTTTGCAGGCATCAAATAATGAAGATTTTTCCAGAACCTTGAGTTATATGAAAGAGACTTATCGGCCTCCCACTTCAGAACTCGATGAGATTTCAAAAGCTCTAATGATTTGGGCAAGAACATGAAATCACTGACAGGTGTGAATTCAATTAAGATTATCTTAATTTTCCTTTCCACCAGTGCTTCATGAAGTCCACTTTCAAGCTCATACCTGACTTCGTTTGACATGTAATTTTCACTTAGAACAATGATTAGTCTTCGGCTCTTTTCTATCAGTGAATGGATTTCATCAACAACAGCTAAAATTTCAAGATGTGATATATTAATTTAAGATCATTGAAAGTGCATATCAAATGAAAATCATTTTGCATAGTCATATTTTACACTAACATGTTTCTATTTAAGTCCAATCACTGATTCTACATTTTTAAAAAGCCTTTTAAAAACTAGGTAACAATAGTAATGAATACTTATTAAGCATTTTCTCTGTACATGCCCACTTTTACATACTTTATATTATTCAGTTAATGACCATAATGGGTCATCAAAGAAGATATCTTTATAATCCCCATTTCACAAATGAACAAGCCTAAACAGAGTGGTTGAGTAACTTGACACACAGCTAGTAAGTGACAGAATTAGGCAGTTTGGTTCCAGAATACAAATTTTTAACAAATATGCTATCCTGTCTCCCTATATGGACAAGGAACACTTTTCAAAGAAACTGTAAAGATGAAAAATTAAAGAGAAAATCTGTTCTTTTTGTAGGCCAAAGATAGTTAATTTTTTTCTATAAAAGTCAGATAATAGACATTTTAGGCCTTGGAAGCCACAGTTTCTTTTCCACACTATTCAACTATCCTGCTGAAGTATGCAAACCGTCCTATCCTAGAAAACATGTAACAAATAAGTGGCTGTGATTGAAGAAAGGTGGCCTATACTAGACTTCTAACATTTCTCACGTAAAACAAAACCCACTGCCTTTGAGTCAGTTATGACTCATAGCAACTCTCCATTCAATTTTCAAGATTACAAATCTTTGAAAAAGAAGACTCCCCATCTTTATCCCATGGAGTATTTGGTGAATTCAAACTCCTGACCTTTCAGTTCACAGCCCAATATGTTACATAGTAAGCAACTAGGGCTCTTTAAGGTTTCTTAAATAGAGGTTTTCAAACACAGTTAATGACTCTTTGATTTATAACTAAACATGCTTTGTTTTATTTAAGAATCAAGGAGAAATCTGAAATTCAAAATGACTACTAGAAAATAATGACATCTGTGCTGCAATCCTGAAGGAACATAGTTCAAATCCACTAGCTGCTCCATGGGAGAAGGAAGGGCAATCCCCTCCCATGCGATTAACTGCCCCTGAAAACCCACTGGAAGGTCAGCTATGGGTCAGTTCTGACACGATGGTACACAACAACAACAATATAACAATCAAAATAAGGTGAAGTCAAGCAGAAATACATTCTAAAATAAGGTACCTTCTTACAAAATAAAAACTGATGCACAAAAATATTAGTGCTGTATACACATGACAATTAAGCATATTAATTTTCTAAGAAGCTTTTTATTACTAAATAATAGTGTATTTTTTTTCCCTAACTGGTTACGTCTTCTCATCCTCATTTGCAATTTAGGACAGAAGTTACTGCTCTATTTTCAGCACCCGGCTCAGCATTTAGTACATGGATTGCATTCAATAAATGTCAGATGAATGAATGATGATAAAAATGAAGACCTTTTTATTTTTAATAATATCAAGATCGTAACCATTTTAATACCAAATATAAAATACCTTCTCCTGGAAAACTTAGAAAAAAAACAATTTAGAAGAGCTACTAATGATTCTGTATCTTCAGTTTGTTCCAACATTTGTGTTACAATCATTACTACGCAAATATGAATAAAAAAAGCATTGTGTTTGTTACTGAAAGTAGACAGAATCACCATTTTCTTAATACTTATCTGAGCTTTACATTTCATACTTTTTTTTTCAGTAGTGTCCACATGATCAGTAGTAAGCATTTTTCTGGAAAGAATTTAGCTATCCTGCAAAAGATCACAGGGAGCTCTGGTGGTCCAGTGGGAAGAGCTGCACACAGTTCAAATTCACTAGCTGGTTGGCAGGAGAAAAATGAACACTCTTCTCCCTTTCTGTTCAGTCTCTGAAACCTTATGGATGGTCAGCTATGAGTCACTTTTGATTCAATGGCACCTAACAACAACAACAGATCACATATTCAATGAAGTACTGGCTCTGCTCTACATAATATTTTCAAGGGATGTTCTTATTAACTGTGGAGTGTTTTCAGGTAAATATAGCAATGCCAATGTGTAGACCTGATTCTGAAAATAGAATGTCCACTTCCTCTCCCCAAACTTCAGAGAACTGTAAAAGTGAATAAATGAACAAGGTCCAAGAGCAGAGATTTTCAGAAGGACAGTTAACATGTATCAAGTTAACATGTTTTCTCACTGATGTTTATATTGATCCAAGTGGTATTTCCAGTTTAAAAGATTTTGTTCATTTGTTTTTAAGAAAACGGATAGCCATCTTTAAGCCTAATTTATTTCTTAAAAAAGACAAAATCAGCATTAATTTTCTATTTGGAATTCTCTTTCTTACCTCCTCCGGGAATTACATCCCTCTCAAATATGCATAATTTGTACCCAAAATGTTTCTCCAACACCTTAGGTAAAATTTCCACAGCAAAGGTATGCTCCTCACAATGCTCTGGTTGACATTCTTTAAGGTAAGATACAAAAGCATCGTATGTTTTTCCATCTAGGAGATAAGTGTTCATCTTTTAATTAGTGTAAAAATAAATTCAGTACAAAGTTGAAAAAAAAAATAATGAGGAAATAGGCCTAGACTCAGTGAAAACAAGAACCCAAATATAGCAACTGGAAATCTCATATATTTACCAATACTACTTAACTTTTTTTTTTCTTTAAAGAACACTTATTTTAAGATTCCCAAGATTTGACCCAATAGAGGACTAGAAGTAAATGAATGAGATTAATCAGGTCACCAAATGAACTTTAATGACTATAGAAGATAAAGGAACCCAAACATGACTTTGTTCCAGGACTAGAAAGCAAGTCTCAGCTTCGCTTACATGTAGAATTTAACTCTAGCATCATCCTTACTTTCCAACTCAAAATGGCCCTTTGTAAAATGAAAACAGAAGTAAAACTAGGAGTTTCCACAAGAGAGTGAGAAGAAGTACTAGAAGCTGTTGAAGCAAAAGCTATGATATTTGAAAAACATTGCATAGCAAATTGCAACAGAAAATCTTTTGCTCCATTAAAAGTTTTCACTAATGAAAATATCTTTTCTTTTAAATTAATGATAATGAAGCAATAGGGATATTATTTAAGAGTCAAAACCCAGAGGAATCTGTAATTCAAACAACAAACATTATTATTCTAAAGGTGTCACTAAACAATTAAATATTTCTATCTTCCAGCTTCATTTAGTCTGTTTGATAAGACAAAAACTAACAAGTGCCACAAATTGAGGAAAGTTACAAACAAAACATTAGCAGAAGCGAAACAATATAGTGAAAACAAAACATGGCAAACATATGAAAAACCTGGTATAAGTAGCTATCTTGTGGACATTCCCTTTGAAAGAAGAAAACTTTTAATCTGATTTTAAATAATATAATTGATTCAAATTGGGACTGGTAGAGGAGGAAAGGAGATTAACATCAACGGGTCCATTTTTATCCCACAGAGCAATCGTTTGCATATTAGAGTTAGAGTAATGCTTGAATATACTATTAGGATTAATGAGTGTGCTACTGGGTTAAGAGTAGATGGATGTTATTACATTCTTTATTAAACTTTAATGGGACGAGCCATTCAAGGTTCATGTTATTCACAGTGCTGAGCTCAACAGCAAATGTGACGTGTCCTTCTATTTCAGACCCAGTCCAACATTCAAAGCAGTCTTCAGGGCCATCACACACTTCTCATTTCTTGGAAAATTTTCCTTTCATTCCACCTACAATATTTTCATTCCACATTACAAATATGAACTCAGAGTGTCTATCCTACTCTGACATGCATGAGCATCTATGAAATGGTTTCAACTGCAAATTGTTCATGAAGCACAGAGATCCGTTTGGAAATTATTAAATAAAGACTTTCCTATCTTGCCTCCGGAAACCCTATGAACCTGGAGAGAGGATGAAAGGCACACAAGCGTCGAGGACTCTCCTTCATAGGGTCGCTATGAGTCACCTGCAACTCGATGGCACTTAACAACAATAACATCAACAGAGAGAGAGAGAGAGAGATCAGCTGGCCCAGTGAAGAGAAAACGATGTGACCAAGACAAAGGTGGGTGACTTTTAGTTTGTGGCCCTCCAGTCTGTCTTTCATTGTTTTTGTTCAGATGTTCCTCTAGGTCGTATAGCCCTGGTGTACAAGTTGCCATCCCGCGGTCACTTGTGGTTGCTGTGAGGCTGAACACTGTGACACGGATGTGTCAAATGTGTTAATGGTTGGCTACCCAATGCGGACTGAGAGTGGGGTGGAGCTCCCCGATTGAACAAGCGTGGAAGGAGGAGTGGCGTCCACTTCCATAATAGCTTGCCTCCGGGAACCCTATGAACCTGGAGAGAGGATGAAAGGCACCCAAGCATCAAGGACTCTCCTTCATAGGGTCACTATGAGTCGCCTGTGACTTGACGGCACTTAACAACAACAAAATGTACTCTTTCTGCATAGCAAAAATCACACACACAGCAGGCACAAAACTAATCGTATATTAGTAAATGATGTCAATGTAAAAATACATCAATAAAAACTTTCAAGAAGTTGCACTGCAATCCCAGAGGTAAGTGGTTCGAATCCACCAGATGTTTTGCTGGAGAAGGTGGGGCAATTTCCTCCTGTACCAGTCAGATCGGATTTGACACAAAATAAGACAATTTAAAAAAAAATAACCAAAGACAAGATGTATCGATAAAAACTTCACAGGAAAAATAAGTTGAGACTTAGAGGGTCTTTCATCTCAAAAAGAAATTTAACTGCATCCAAGAACACATACACACATAACTTCTGCATGTTGTTGTACCATAAAGTCAAGTATGACTCATAGTGACCCTATGAACAGCCAACCTGACCCCTGCCCTATCCTGTGCGCCATTCTCACCATGTCTGAAACACTCAAGCCCACTGCTGAAGTCACTGTGCCATTCCATCTCATTGGAGATCTTCCTCTCCTTTGCTGACTCCTTCATCTTCACAAGCATGATATCCCTCTGCAATGAACAGCCTTCCCTAACACATGGCCAAAGTATGAAAGACAAAGCCTTACTTGGACTGCATTTTCTGCATAACACACAAAAATTAGCAAACTTAAAAGAAAAATGACAAGTATATGGACATTTCATATTACAGAAAATCCTATAACATCTTTAAAATTTAAATAGCTCCTGAAAACTAACAAAAATGAAAGATGAACAAGTCAATAGAAAAATGGGTGAAATGTATGACTGAGCATTTTGAGATAGAAAATATATACTGGAGAATATAAAATAAGTAGTGTCTGATTTGTTTGTACAGTAAGTGAATGCAAATTAAAACCATACTGAAATATATTTTTTTATTTTCACTCTCAAAAATCCAAAAGTTTGATAAAAACCATTTTGTGGTGAATGCTGTTGGGGAAAGAAAAGCTACACTTATCCACTAAAAGTAGCATCATAGATTAGTGCAACTTTATGAAGACTAATTGAGGTTATCTTTCCTAATATCAAGCCCACCTATCCTTTGTATTTCAGGAAAATCTAGTTTGTGAAATTTTTCCTTCAGATACACTCTGTGAAAATGAGTAATGTAAAAAATGAGTGCAATCCATTGCAACATTGCTGGAATAACAGAAGTTTTGAAGCAACCAAGAAGCCCATAAAAAAACCAATATTAGATAAAAAATATACAACTTTTAAAAAGAAACCCTTTTATAACTAATAAAAGATTAATCAACAATTTGCATTATGCAGATGACATACCCCTGCTTGCTGAAACTGAGGAGGACCTGAAGTGCTTGCTGCAGAAGGTCAAGGACTGTAGCCTTTAATATGGATTGAAGCTCAACAGAAAGAAAACCAAGATTCTCACCACTGGGCCAATTGGCAGTGTTGTGATAGATGGTGAAGAGATTGATATTGTTCACAGCTTTAGTTTGCTTCCCTCCATAGTCAACACTCATGGCACCAGCAAACAGAAAATTAAAAGAGGTATTGTGATGAGAATGTGTGCTGTTAGGGACCTCTCTAAAGTACTGAAGAGTAAATGGTGTCACTCTGGAGACTGATACAGGTCATGGTCTTTGCAATCACTTGTTGTGCATCGGAGAGCTGGGCAATGACTAGGGAGGAAAGAAGGAGAATTGATGCCTTTGACCTGTGGTTTTGGAGAAAAGTATTGAATATACCATGGATTGCTAAGAAAATGGACAGGTTCATCCTAGAGAGGGTTGAACCAGGCTGCTCCTTGGAGGCAAGGATTCTAAAGCTTTGTCTGACATACTTTGGGCATGTTGCAAGGAGTGACCAGTCCTTGGAGAAGGACATAAAGCTTGGGAGGGTGGAGGGACAGTGCAGGGAAGGAAGACCGTCTATGAGATGGATTGATTCAGTGACTGGGGTAATCGGAATGGGGGTGTCGGAGACTGTGAGACTGGTACAGGACAGAGCAGGGTGTAGGGCTGTTGTACATAAGGTTGCTATGAGTCGCAAGTGACTCAATGGCACATAACAACAAAAACAAAATCCTAGTAAATCAAATCAAAGCTCAGAATAAGGTATGCCAATGTTTGTTTGGTTTTTTTTTAAGAGGTAAAACAATGATCTACCTTCATATACACCCGGATAATTAGGCTTTTTATTGGAAAGTGAGAAACACAGACATGAAGCAAGGACAGAAAGCAGGTTTTATGTTATATAAGTTATTGTTTTGTGGTTTTTTTATGTAACGTACAAAACAAACCATGAAAATTGAAATAATGGATTATATTGCTTTTTTATTATTTGGTAATTATCTCAAAGGACCATCAAGTCACTATATATAAAAAGAATATAGATAAAAATGTAGCTGATCTAAGGGACTAGAACTCAGATCATTTAGCTCCTGGTTCAAGGCTTTTGCAGGTACATGGGGCAGCCTCCTATGTCAGGTTAAATGAATAAATCAGCTCTGATGGCAAAGTCCATAGAGAATTGCGTGGCTATTCCAAAGGCCAAACTTCTTTGGCAGTTCCAATCCACCAGAGGCTCTTCGCAAGAAATATGGACAGTCTCATCCTGTATGATTTACAGCAGTAGAAACCCGAGGAGGGTCAGGTGAGTTGGTTCCGACTCGAAGGCAATGAGTGAGCAAATACAATGGAATTGAACTTAGAAGACCTTCATTGACCATACACACCACATAGGCTACCCAGAAAGTATGCATACAAGGGTGTTTAGATACACAGTTCTTAAACTTAAGAATCTTAGAGGTAATTTAGGAACACATAGCACACATACGTGGATGGAACAATTAGAAAACAATTTTGGCCACACATAAGTACAAGAAAAGATGTCACAAGCAAATTCACAGTAGATAATACATGTAAAACAAATTTATCCATGGAAAATTCTCCTATATTTTAAATGACTGATATAATTACAAAAAAAAAATATAAGAACAGAAGAAATCCCACCAAAATCCCAACCCCTAAAACAAATTCACTGCCACTGAGGCAATTCTGACTCCTAACTACCCTTGACAGAGCTTCTGAGGCTATAAATCTTTTGGGAAGAAACTGCCCATCTTTCTCTCTTGGAACCACTGGTGGACTTGAACCACTGAATTTCAGTTTAGCCTTTCATGGATATGTCAAGCATTATTGACCTTATATGCTAAGCGCTACATGACCTTGGCCAGTTACAAATAAGCTGAAATTTAATATATCCTTCCTTGCTTTTTTAATTGAAGCTTAAGAAAAGAAATCCCAATATTATCATGTCTATTACCTGTTAATGTTTCATCTCTTCCTGTTAACCGTCTATAAAATAAAACCAAGTCAACTCTATAAATGGCACACACAACCACTAGGCACACAACTGCTACCAACACTGAGATGGCTATCACAATTCCTCTGGTGAAGATGTGGCCTGGGATATCACCATTATCTGTTAGAAAAGACAATTAAACACAATTAATCATAAAAACAAATTTACCAGTGTCTTCCACTGTCATGTTGTCACTTGTCACCTTTAATACAAACCCAATGGTCTACAAATCTTTTGTTCTATCGTAATACTTCACTTTCCTACATCATGACTTCCTTTTAAAAATTGAGTCAAAGTTTACAAATAATATTTTTTATTCATTCGTTCATATAATTTTTATAATATTAATTAAAATTGATTAGTGTAAAGTGTCAATTACAATGTCTAATCAACCCCTTATTGTTTTATTTTACTTTCACCCAACTTACTATCTGTTTGTGAATTTTTACCACCCTCTGCTTCCCTTCCCATCTTGGTAACCCTTTTACATAGCATCTTGAATAATGAGTCACCTCAAATTTTTAAAGAATAAAAATGTGCATAAGGACATTCATCCCTGAACTGAAATTATTTTAATTGGGTAGTGCTGATGGAGTAGTCCGTGTGGAGTTGTGTTGCTAAAAGTAAAAACAGTGCTTCTCTGGTGGTGTGAATCCAGCAGCTGCTCTGAGGGAGAAAGATGGGCAATCACCTCCTGTGGGATTTACAGTCTCTGAATAGCTGCTGTGAAAACTTATGAGATAGTTCTGATTCAATAGGAATGAGTTTAAGTTTTATCTTACATCGATATAGCTCTGGTAGTACAGTGGTTAAAGATAAGCTACAAACTTGAGCTGCTGAACCCAGCAGTCTTATGAAAAGACACATAGCAGTCTGCTTTTGTAAAGATTTTACCCTTGGGAACCCTATGGTACAAGTTAACTGTCTTAGCGATGCCTTTGAATTGTGGTGTTTGAGGAAATGGTTGAATATCCCATGGACTGCCAAAGGAACAAACACATTTGTCTTGGAGGAAGTGCATCCCGGCTGCTCTTTAGAGGAAAAGATGATGAGGCTTTATCTCATATACTTTAAACATGTAGTCACGAGGGGCCAGTCCTCGGCAAAAAGACATGCTAGGAGATGTAGAAGGTTTGAGAAAGGGAAGGAAATTCTCAACAAGATGTATTGATACAATGACTGCAACAATAGGTTCAAGCAGGTGAAAGAATATGATGATGATGATTAAGAACAGGACAAGGTCCAAATCTGCTTTTCAAGGGTTTCTACAAATCCTAGTCGACTTGATAACATAAAACAAAAATGAAAAATAGAGGCACTATGAGTCAGAATTGGGTGCAATGGCAATAGTTTGTGGCCCTACTTGTTGTGAGTGTCACTGGGTGGTACTAACATTTTGCATTTGATTACTAATGTCCACCCAAACTCAATTAGCAGTGTCTTGGAATAAAGGCCTGGTGGTCTGCTTTCATAGAAATCATAGCCAAGAAAACTCCTTGGAGCAGCTCTAGCCTGTAACATGTGGGCTCTCTTGAAGTTGAAATTGACATCATGTTAAAAGGTTTTGTCTTTATGCCTACTTGTGAAAATTAGGATGACAAGATAAAATATTTTCTAGGGAAAAGGACAAGTGACTGACTCAAAGATAAATCTGATTTAATTATTTGAAAATAAAAATGAGGTGAAGGTGCACATGGGTCTGAGGAGAGATTGACTTGGTTCCAGCCGGACTAGATCTCATAATGTTACTCTGTGAATAAGTCACTTAAGCAATTAAACCCTGAGATTTTCATCTGTAAAAGGAAGACACTAATAGCTCTTATTCACTTGCAGTTATTTTGATGGAGGTGGAATTATACATAAAATAGTGCAGAATTTTCACACTGGTAATAGAATTATAGTTATTTTTTATTTCTATCCACTTCAACATCCCTCTGGAAACTATGAACCTTAACAAATGTCAATAGTTATAGAAAGGCTTCAGGCCTTTTGTTCATAGGGTCACTGTGAGTTGTGCTCAACTCGATGGCGATCAACAACAGTAATTTCCCAATACCACATTGGCTCTTTTGAAAAAAAGCTTATATATAACTTTTTGTCCATTCCTTTCACTATCTATTCATTTTTTGTTCTCTCTTCTTCTCTGATCCCTACTAACCCTTTAAGATTGATTCTCTCTGTGTATAAAACTTTCCTTAGCTTTTTATGTTAAAGGTCTTATACCAAAATTATCATTCTGATAATTAAGTCATTAAGCACAATCTGTTTTATTTAGAATTTTAGATTATTTCTGTATAAAATTGTTCTTTAGGGAATGTAGTTCAAATGCATCTGCTGCTCCAGAGGAGAGGGACTGGCAGTCTCATTCTGTGGGATTAACTGCTTCTGAAAAACCTCCTGGAGGGTCAACTAGAGGACGGTTCCTACTTGATGGTATTCAACAACAGGGGGAAAGAATATATAGTTTCAAGGCAACTCTTGTAGCTTATTGGGCAAGAAGTTGTGGTACTAACCCAATGATAAGACATTCAAATCCATCAGAAACTTTGTGGGGGAAAGATAGACGATCTCCTCCCATTTGATTTGCAACCTCTGAAAACTCACTGGAAGGTCAGGTATGAGTTGGTTCTGACCCAATGGGAGAATTTCAGATAGTTTTTTAGTTTATGTTTAATTGAGACAATATAGGGAAATATGAAGAATAAAATTATTTTAACATTTATGCAATAATCTAAAAAGGGACACTTCTAACAAGACAACATTCTTCTCCTTTTCTCCCTTGATAATTTTTATGTAATTGATCATAATGACTGTTTATTAATTGGCATTATATTGTAAACATTTTACTCAGCCATTAAAATTACTAATCATAAATCTCAATATTTAGTCTGATTGCCATTTTTTTGAATACATATAATGCTGCAATAAAAAATCTTTATGTATAAACTGATACGTATGACACTATATAAAGCCCAGGAACTAGTAGAAAGAACAACTAACTGAGAACAGATTCAAAGCTGACCCTTTATTGGGTTTCCAAGGCTATAAACTGCATGAGAAGAGATTGCCTATAATCCCCCTAAGGAGTGACTGGTGGATTTGAACTTCCAGAGAGGCACTGCCTTTGGGTTAGCAGTGAACATCCCTACGGATTAGACTACCAGACCTTAAGTGAGATGTGTTAAGAGAAAGACCATGCCCAAAGGCCCCTTGGTTCCAGTGCTGGAAACATTCCACTTAATACTTAACTAACTTCTGCCTCTGCACTAGTTCTGCCCTCAAATGACTGTGACATAAAGTGAATAATTTTCTTTGTATGGAGTTTCTTTTTCATTCTTCTGATACATAAAATTAAGAAGGGTTGATCTTTGAGGTGTCATCATCATTAGCCTTCAAAGTTCCCAAAGACTTTCAAAACCAAAACTGTTTTCGCTTACCTTTTTTCTCCAAGATGAAGATTCTAGGGTCTACAGGTCTCCCACTGACCACAGTACAATTATATGGAAAATGTAGATTATCTTCATTAACATTCTTTATGTACAACATTTTTGAAGCATAATATTTGCCATCTAGGGTCCTGTAAGAGAGAAAAATAATTAAACAGTAGGCTTTGTCCATAACCAGTAAAATGACGCATGACAGATGTAGCCATACATTTGAACATGTAAAAGGAGCCTGGAAGACAGAAGCAGATTGTCAAGCTGAAACGTGGTGGTTTTAATCCACCTGGCAGCACCTTATAGGTCTGGGAACTTGTTTCTATTACAACAAATTATATTGTTGTTGTTGTTATGTGCCATCAAGTCGCTTGTGACTCATAGCAACCCTATGTACAAGAGCTCTAAATGCTGTTCTATCCTGTGCCAACCTAGCCATCTCAAACACACTTGTTCCCACCACTCCAGTCACAGAATTGATCCATCTCATCTAAGGTCTTCCTCTCCTTCGCCGCCCCTCCACTCTGCCAAACATGATGACCATCTCCAAAGACCAGTCCCTCCTTGCAACATGTTCAAAGTATGTCAGACAAAGCTTCAGAATCCTTGACTCCAAGGAGCATTCTGGCTTCAACTTCTCCAGGACAAACGTGTTTGTTCTCATAGCAGTCCATGGTATATTCAACTCTCTTCTCCAGCACCACAGCTCAAAGCATCAATTCTCTTTGTATCAACCCTATTCACTGTCCAACTCTCTGATGCATAGCACGAATATGTGACGACTATAGCCTGGATCGGGTGCACCTTAGTCTCTAGCCTGATGTTGTTGCTCTTCCGTACTCTTGAGAGGTCCCTCACAGCTGACTTTCCCAATGCAATTCGTCTCTTGATTTCCTGGCTGCTGTCACCAAGAGTGTTGATTGTGGAGCCAGTAAACTAAAACTGTTAACTATCTCAATCTCTTCACCATCCATACTGATGCTTCCAATTGGTCCAGTGGTGAGAAACTTTGTTTTCTTGATGTTGAGCTTCAATCCATATAGTAGGCTGCAGTCCTTGACCTTCTGCAGCAAGCGCTTCAGGTTCTCCTCAGTTTCAGCAAGCAGGATTGTGTCATCTGCATAACGCAGGTTGTTGATGACTCTTCCACCAATCCTGATGCCACATTCCTCCTCTTATAGCTCAGCGTCTTGGATGATCTGTTCTGCATACAGATTGAAAAGGTATGGAGACAGAATACATCCCTGACAAACCCCCTTCTTGATTTTGAACCATGTAGTGTCTCCTTGCTCTGTTATGATGACTGCCTCTCGGTCCAAGTATAGGTTTCACATTAGCACAATCAAATGTTATGGGATTCTCATTCTTCTCAGAGTCAGCCACAGCTTTTTGTGATCTACACAGTCAAAAGCCCTTGCATAGTCAATGAAGTAAAGATAGACATTCTTCTATTATTCTTTGCTTTCTACCAAGACCCATCTAACATTAGCTATAGTATCCCTAGTACCACGACCTTTTCTAAATCCAGCCTGCACATCTGGCAGTTCTCTGTTGGCATACTGTTCCAAAGTTTTTGATCATTTTCAGCAGAATCTTGCTTGCATGTGATAGTAATGATATTGTTCTATAATTTCCGCACTCTGTTGGGTCACCTTTCTTTGGAATGGAAACAAATATCGATCTTTTCCAGTCAGTAGGCCAGCTGGCTCTTCTCCAGATTTCTTGGCACAACTTAGTGAGCACATCCAGGTCAGTATCTGTTTGTTGAAATATGTCAATTGGTATGCTGTCAACTCCTGGAGCCTCATTTTTTGCCAGAGCAATCTGAACCTCCTCCTTCATCACCATAGGCTCTTGTTCATATGTCATTTCATTAAATTCTTCTGTGTCAGCCAATTCCTTCTGATACAGTGACTGTGTGTATTCCTTCCATCTTCTCTTGATACTTCCTGGATCATTTAATATTCTGCCCAAATTATCCTTAAGTATTGCCACCCGTGACTTGAATTTGTTTTCAGCTCCTTCAGCTTAAGAAATGCTGAGCGAGTTCGGCCCTTTTGATTTTCTGACTCCAGCTCTCTGCACATTTCATGATAGTATCTTACTTTGTCATACCGGGCTGCCTTTTGACATTTTCTGTTTAGCTTTTGATTTCTTGGTTTCTTCCTTTAGCTTTGGCTTCTAGAAACTCTAATGCATTATCCAGAGTCTCATCTGACATCCATCTTGGTTTTTTCTTCTTTTTCAGCCTTTGTAATGATCTTTTGCATTCTTCATGGACAATTTTCTTGATATCCTCCCAGAGCTCATTTGGTCTATGCTCGTTTTGTGCTCAAGGCCTCAAACCTATTCCTGAGATGGTTTTGAAATTTGAGTGGGACAGACTTAAGATCAAATTTTGGCTCCTGTGGACTTGATTTAATTTTCCTCAACTTCAGTTTGAACTTGCATATGAGTAGTTGGTGGTCTGTGCCACAATTAGCACCCGGCCTGGTTTTCACTGCTGATACTGAGCTTCTCGACTGAGTCTGTCCACAAATGTAATCTATTTGATTCCTGTGCATGCCATCAGGTGAGATCCATGTGTATAGCCTGTGTTTATGTTTCTTATAAAAGGTATTTGCAAGGAATACATCATTGAATGTGCAGGACTCTACCATTCTATCTCCAGCCTCATTTCTCTCACTGAGCCCGTATTTTTCCAGCTACTGATCCTTCTTCCCTGTTCCCAACTTTTGCGTTCCAGTTGCCCATTATTATCAATGCGTCTTGATTGCATGTTTGATCAACTCAGACTGCAAAAGTTGGTAAAAATCTTTTTAGAAGCTTTGAAAAATACCTTAGAATTAAGATCAATTTGACTACAAGCAGAAACAGGTATTCAACGTCAGCTACCATAATTACCACACACTATCTTTCCTCAGTGGGTTAGTATATTTTATTATGTGTTGGGCGACTAGCTGAAGGGTCATAGGTTTGATTCCATCAGACACTCTCTGTGAGAAAGATGGGAAGTCATATCTCATAAAGATGTGCAGTCTCAGAAACCCAACGGAGGGTATGAGTTGGAATGGATGCAATGAAGTGGGCTCTTTTCTTATAGCTATGTATAAAAATGAGGGCTTCTGTGAGTCTTTTTCCTCCTCTGGGAAGAACATCTAGATCAATAGTGGCAGTCCTTCCTGAGACTAGCTGGAGTCAGTGCTGTTAACCACCTAGAATTAAATTGCCTGTTAGGTAATGAGGGAACTAAAATAAAATAAAAAACCACACAATCTTTGCATTATCTTGCCCTTGTTCCTGTCCTTCTAACTACTCAGAGTTTCTCCCACAGTAAGGGCTATGCCAGTGTAGCGAGACTACGAATTGTTTAGCTAACCAGATACAGATGTGTCTCAAGCTTGAGATTGCAATCTTAATGATGACTTTATTTTGTAAGGATATTGTCAAAATAAAACTATTCTCAGACGCAAATAAGAAATTCTGGGTAAGGCTGTCGGTGCAATAGTCTCCCTGCACCCCTTCCTGCCCTCCCAGGCCCAGTGGAGCTGGGTAGCATCAGCGGCCTAGCCCAGAGGGGCACCGGCACCTGGAGTCCAGCGCCATGCCGGGTGCAGTTACAGCCATGTGAGGCCGCGGTGCTGGGCGGTGGCAGGGCCCGGCTGGGTCTGCTCATGGTGCCGCCATGATGCTATCATGGGGTAGGAAGGCCAGGTGGACTGAGTTCTTTACCCCCTTTTAGACTCAGGTTTGCCTAGTATCCAGTCATTATCTTTGAAGATCTCAGAAAAGCCCTTAAAATCAGACAACAAAAGGTGTGTGTGTGTTTATCATGAACCATATGAATTCCCAGAGCAGTGGATTCACGCAACCCAGGAGGATGGAATGGCTCTTGGAATTGTTATTCTCCTACTTGTTGATGTGATCTGGATGGCTTTCTTGGAACTTCATGTTTTCACTCAATACAACAAACCATTCTTCAGCACCTTTGCGAAAACATCTATGTTTGTTCTATACCTCTTTGTTTTTATTATTTGGAAGCCATGGAGACAATAGTGTAAAAGAGAATTTCGAGGGAAATATGCTGCTTTTACTTGTAAGAGACATAGTAGTAAAAAGGGGAAACCAAACAACCTCCAAGAAGAGCGGAAATGGAATATATCCCTTGGACTGAGTGTCCCTGCACTGACAATTAAGAGCTGAGAGAAAGAAAAAAACGAAACAAAACAAAACTGACATTTGTTGGGGTTTAGGACAGACAGAGAAGGAGGGGATGAATGATGTATACTGCATTGAAACAGATGAGGGAGAGAACTGTTTAAAAGGGATATATGACTAGGTATTATTGTCATAACAGGAGTACAGTATGAAGGCTGCACAGTGGAGTGGAATGGGGGCAGGGACTGCATAACGATGAAAGAGTTTTTCTTTTACTCTTCAAGGAGAAGAGTGAATTGGGGAGGTGTGGGTGGGCAGGGAGAAAAGTGCAACAATGAATGAATGAATGAATGATAACCCTAAGTCTCTGTAAACTTTCATTAAAATTAATTTTTAAAAAACCCAAAAAAAACCCAAAAAACTGTGACATGTGGAGATTGCACAAAAAAGTAAGAAGCAGCAGCAGCAACTGCAGTAAAGAACTATCAGAGCACAACCGTGAGACTGGCAGAAGCTTACCCACATAAGTGAGCAAGTTTATTGTCTACAAGAAGGCTTGCTGATGGAGTAGGGTGACTCTGGGTGTGGCTAGAGAACTTCGTAATAGTTGCCCAAGCAGGACAAAGATCAGGCCCCAGAGGACTGAGGAGCCAGAGCAGAAGGGTAAAGTCTAGGAAGACACCTGCTTGCGGGTACGGCTAAGAAGCTGTCCTAATCAAAGATCTGTATTCTGAGTCATTTCTGATCCCTGTTACTTCCCTGAAAATATCCATATTTGTGAATACAGCTTGTGAGTTCTGTGTGGGCATTGCAAAGAATTACCAAACGCAGAAGAGAAGTGGAGTGTGCCCTGGACAGGACAGTTAGTGTTAGAATTGGTGAAAACGTTGGAGAAGTTATATCCGACCTCTCTGACTCATACGACTCCACTGCGGGATGACGTTAATGGTGATTTTCTCTTCCTCTTAGAGGAGATCAGATA